TTTGGTGCCAAGCAAAAGGAGAGTATGTTAAATGAGGATGGAGACATTTGGAGGGTCAAACATTCAGAAGAGACAAGGACAGGAGAAGCAGAGGAAAGACTGCGAGGAGGCGCACAGGCGGCGATGGCGGCCACCGCAGGAGGGGCCGTGAAAGGGAGGGGACGGCCGAGAGGCCGGCAGGAGGCCGAGGGGACATGCACTCAGCATGCAGACGTGGGCAAGCACTCAGCATGCAGACGTGGAAGGAGGGCTGCTCCGCTCGGGACCGCTTTTCCCCAGCAGCTCTCCAGCGCTCACGCGGTGAGTAGTGTCCGAGGGAGGCAGCAGTAGGGACTCCGGGGTGGGGGTCTAACAGGATGCGGGGACGTTGACGAGACAGAGGTTGCAGGCTGCCCCACCCCCAGAGGTGAGCCTGGGCGAGGGCGGGGAGAAACTCGAGGAGCACAGGGTGGGAGCCAAGGTCTCAGGGAGCCGGTGGAGGGCCCAGGCGCATGTCCTGGGCCAACAGGCGGATCCTGCGTGAGAGGCTGTCTGGTTGTCTGAGGAGGCCCCAAGGAACCTGGGCGCGGGGAGAAGACGTCTGGGGCTTAGGAGTGTTCAGTTCAAGTCAGCCCAGGCCAAACTGCAGAGAGGCCCTGGGAGGCCCGGAGCACACTGGGGACATGTCACCTGTGTCGCCAAGTCAGCCCTCTGAAAGTAGTACGCCAGGCGGAGAGGTCTTGGGCCTCGAGGCTGCTCCTGCCTTCTGTTCCTGTCCCCAGCGACCCTTGCTGCAGGTGTGATTGGTAGGAGCAGTCAAGGAATCCAGAAGGCCCTGAAGTCTGAGACACCAAAGAACACTGGGAAGAGGCATGCACTGATCTCCCAGCATCAGGATTGTTTGCTAATAAGAGAGCATCAGCCAAGAAAGCCTCATCCAGATGGAGTGGGGATAGCAACAGCCGTGTGGCAGGAAGGAGCTGAAGCCCGGGGAGGGTGTGAGAGACGGCGGCGTGCTGCGGCTGCACGTCTACGGGGCTGAGAGCCTCCCCGCCGGCCTGTGCGAAGAGCAGGCCTTCGCAGAGGGGATGAGGCCCAGGCTTCTTTGGGGGCCTGGGCCAACCATGCCCCTAAGAGGACGGGGATCCCCTTGGCCTCAGGACTCATTAGGGAGCTCTTGGTTTTCAGTAACAGGATTCCTGAATTAAACCACCTCATGCAAAAAAAGGAAAAGCATTATTTCATGTCACAGCAAGTCGAGAGGCGGGGCAGACTCCAGAGTGATGTTATGGGAAACCTCCGCTGCTTGCATCTCTGCTGTCACCCTTGGTGCCAACGTCATGGTCAGGCAGGAACCGAGATGACTGCTGCTGGTGCAGGCACCAAGGACAGATGCAGGAATGTCCACAGGAGGAGGGAGCACCTCCCTGGGAGACAGGGAACTCTCCTGAGGAGCCCTCCCTCCCTCCAGGCCTCCATTCACATCCCATCAGCCAGAACAGGGTCACAGGCCGAGTCCTGTGTTACGTAGTGTTCGTGGGATGGGGTGACTCTTGGACCACCCAGGCTCACTTGGGGGAAGGGGAGGACTCCTAAATGAAATGGGGCTTCTATTCGAAAGGAAGAAAGGAAGAATCGGTACTAGGTACCCTTTCATTGCCCCTTCTCTCCTGTCCTTACAAGTCCCATTCCAACAAAAGTTCCCAGTGGTTCTTAACTGAGGGGTTAACCTGAAGACAATCAGGTCAGGAGGCAGACTAGGTGATGACCAAGCCCAGGGCAACAGAAAGCCTCTAGCCACCAGCTTTCCCTGTGCCCAGCCCTGGCCCACCCAACAGTCCCCTGCTCCTGTCTGCTGTCGAGAAGGCAACCACATCTGGAAAGATGGCTCATGTGGCGCTGGAGGGCTAGACACAAGCATTAACGTCACGGAGCAATGACACACCCCGGACTCTGAGAGGTGCCTTGTTGGGAAGTGAGGTGGAAAGACAAAGCTGCAAAGAAGGGTGGAAACCAAACTGGGGGACGGATGCTGGGCTCCACCCTGTCCTGGCTCTGCCACTGTCTTGCTTGGTGCTATGGGGCAAGGGGAGAGCTCTTTGAACCTCAGTTTCTTCATCTGTAAAACAAGAGAGTTGAACTACTTGACTTGTAGGATCCCCTCCAGTTCACACACTTGGTGATTTTGAGGGTTTCAGAATGGAGAGATTAACTGGGAGGTAGGGAGATGGTGGGATAAAGGTGAATTGAAAGTACCATTTAAGGAGTCAGACTGTAGGAGCTGAAGCCAGTGTCAATAAAGGCGACTGACTGTCCTTAGGAAGATGTTGGTCTCTGTGGGTGGGAGAGTCTGTGGCGCTTATCATTTCCGTATGTCCTGTTAGCGCGGAAACATGAGGGGCCCTCTAATAAAGGGGCCACAGGTGCTCAGGGAAAGGACAAGGACAGGTGTAAGCTGGCCAAAAAGCATCAGGCACCACGCAGGCGAGCCTTGAATCAAATGAAGGAGTTAAGTTGCGAAGGGGAACGGCCGTGGGATGGAGGAGACAGGACCGGGGCGACAGGTGGCAGGGACTGCGAGGAGCCTGGGGGCCAGCGCAGCTCAGCAGCGCGGCAGAGGTCTCCCCCGAGCTGGGCAGTGTGGTGCAGCTGCCCCGACCCGCTGGCCCTGCCGGCCCCGTGTGGCTTCAGGACCGGCTGCGGGGGAGGAGGGCTGTTGGGCCTGATGCAAGCAGAGGGACACAATGGCTCACACCCGGCTGCAAGGCCCTGGCAGAAGATGGAGGGTCTCTGCCAGCCACAGGGGCTGAATACATGTGGGGGAGAACCAAAAAGAGAGCAAGAGAGGAAGAGAAAGAGGGTGAGAGGGAGAAAGAAAGAACACACTGGCCAGGCAGCTTTGCAATGCAACTGAGCTTGGCCTGGAGAACAGATTGTATTTGGCTGAGCTTTCCTGTAATTGCCTTTCAGACAGATGATCCTGCCAGCCCACCCAGCTCCCATCACAGGCGTCCTTGCCCAGCATGTACCAAAACTGTGAATGGGATGCGTCATCCTTCCCAGCCCTGTAGCTCTCTGCTCTTCCCACCCCCCAGAACCTGCATTCAGCCCACACTCATTTGCTGGACACCAGCTGACACTCCTCTGCACCTGGGGTGCACAGGCCCGTCCCTCAGGAATGGAGACCCCTGACACTCACAGTTAAGGGCACTCGGACAGACATGTCAGGCAGGGCCTCTCCTTCACAGGAGACTGCTGCCCACTCCAAGGTTCCGCAGCCGGCCCGGCCCACCGGTGCGCAAGTGAGGGCTGGGGTCCCCACTCTGGTTTCATGCTCTTGGTTTCAAGCCCTTTCTCCTTCCCCTCAGTGTCAGCTGCTGACCCTCTGTCTTCAAAGCTTGAAAACATCCAAGAGGTCACAAAATGGCCTCCTGCCTCCAACCTTGGGGAGCCCAGTGTCTGAGGATCCGGCCAGTGTCTGAGGGCCCAGTGTCCAGACTCACATGGGGAGTGCTCTCAGCTATTTCTTATGCTGAAAGAAGAGGCTGAGAAGGGACAATGTGCCATTGCCTATGGTTGAATGTCAGAGCTTAGAGAAGGAATCTTCCTTGTAATGGGGTGGAGTGGGGATTTCCCGCACCCAACACGACTCCTCCCCGAAGGCCTCTCCTGCCTCCCTGGGCCTCCCCTCAGGGCCCCTACACAGCATTCACCCTACAGTTGTTTACACTCAGTAGATTCCTATTGTCAGTGACATGCCTCTTTGGATGGCATGTCCCCAAGGACAAGTGTCTTCTCTTTCTCTGTTTTTACCACCTGCATCCAAACCCTCAGTCTTCCCCTCCATCCAAGGGCCACTAACATCTGCTTAACTTGATAGTGTTCAGCCTAAGCCTTGGGGACAGATTTCACCCCAAATTTAATTTTATTTCATAAATATATCGCGGATGCCTACCACCTGCCAGGCTCTGGTGCAACATGCAATGCAGGACATAGCAACTAAGCCTTTGTGTGTCCCTACCCTATAAGTTTGCACTGTAATAGGGAGACTAAAATATGGACAAAAATGAACTGGCCTCTTTCTCCTGGCCTGAAGATGCCAGAGCTGGGCCCTGCATCATCCCTGGTCTGTTGTTTCTCCCTCTCCCTTCCCCCTCCAGGTGTGCTCTCTTCACCCGTCTGTCTTTGCTCACACAGTTCCATCTCTGGAACACCTTTCTCCCTTTTTAGCTGCTCCCCACTCCCAGAATCTTTTAGTGCTCAGTTCAAACCCTGCATCTTCCAAGAAATGTTTTCTTAATCACTAACCAGATAACTTATCTTCCTTTTTGGATCCCCCACAGACTTTTGTGGGTCCGTCTGACTCAGTATCATGTTACCCTTATATGTGCCCTGTCTCCCTGTACCCCCTCCCTTATTCCACTATAATCTACCATAGGAGTAGGGTCTTACTCATCTTTGGGCTTTGAACTTGTCATGTACTTTAGACATACTCATCAAATTAATAGTACAAAGTGGACTGTAACAGCATGTATAGCTAGAACAACGGCATCATGAGGGCCTTCCCAGAAGAAGGGAACGCCAGCTGAGTTTTGCAGAATGGGCGTGTGTGCGGGCAGTGGTGGGCTCCTTCCTCTTCCTGAGATAGGCAGTCCCATTCCTTCTTGGAGATTCTGGGGGAAGTTGGCACTTCCCTGGAGCAAAGAAAGGAAAGGTATCCTTGACATCATTTGGGGCCCAAAAGGCTTGCTCATTAGTCCAATCCCAGAAAACCCTCCGACACCATTGTCTGCCTGGGGCAAGCACCTGGACTGTTAGGGGGAGTGGAACTAGTCCAGAGACAGAAGGTGAGCCAACGGCAACAAAGATGCACCCTTATTTCTTTTCTGTTTTGCTTTTCTTTTTCCTTTTTCTTCCTTCACACCTGCCACTCCCTCTCTCTGCACCTCCCCCCCAATCCCACCCACACGGCCCCACTCTGGTGGACTGCCTGCTGCCCTCGGCCCTCGGCCCTCTCTCAGCTCTCCGCAGCCCTGCTGTTCGACGCCCTCTATGCTGTGGTGACCGCGGTGCAGGAGCTGAACAGGAGCCAGGAGATCGGTGTGAAGCCCCTGTCCTGCGGCTCAGCCCAGATCTGGCAACATGGCACCAGCCTCATGAACTACCTGCGCATGGTGAGGGGCTGGGCTCTGCGGGACCACACTCAGCCTGCCAGTGGAGAGTCGCTGCGGTCACTCCTTGCCAGGCCACCTCAGTTTATCACAGGCCCAGGTGGCACAGTGACCTGTGACAACTCCACTCTGCAGATCATGGGTCCCATTTGTTCCCTGGGCCCTACAATCACCAGGAATCCATGGCAAATTTGTCTACAAGACAGTGGCCCTTGAGAGCCTTTGACTGTCAAGGACTTCCTGGATTCCAGGTTTGGGAACTGACCCCTTGGCTCACAGGTGGTCCCAGCAAAGCTTGCACAAAATGGGGACAGGTGATTCTGCTGTAGAGCACCATCCCTTGAGCTCAGCGCTTCTACCCTAGTGTGGGGCTCCCGTGTTCTCTCAGCCACCTGCCCTCCAGTGGGTGGGCGTGCCTGTGCAGCCCACGAAAAAGGCATCGCCTGTCAGAGAAGCCTGGGCAGAGTGGCTTGGCTTTTGCCCTTAACTCAGGCCATCCTGACTTCTTGCAGTCTGGGGGTGGGTGAGCAGCTGCCCAAATAGGGTAAAAGCTCTTAACAGCCTAGGGCCTGGAGGAGGGGCTCAGGGGAGTCTGAGCCTGAGCCAGAACCTCCTTGTGCTGTTTTATGCGGCAGCTGCGAGGCAGGAGGTGCGGGGCATCCTTCTTCTCCTCCGGCCCCAGCCAGTTCGGGGTCGGTTGCAGAGACGTCGCATTAGGCTCAAGAGCCGGTGGCTGAGAGGTAGGCAGCCTGGACCTTGACGGCGCCCCCTGCGGTGGGCACACGGCCTGGGCGCCCTGACGCAGCACGTGCAGAATGCCTGCTCGGGCCTGCCTGGTGCTGTAACTCAGTCTCTCTTGGACAGGTAGAATTGGAAGGTCTCACCGGCCACATTGAATTCAACAGCAAAGGCCAGAGGTCCAACTATGCCTTGAAAATCCTGCAGTTCACGAGGAATGGTTTCCGCCAGGTAAGGCTGGCCCTGGGGGCGGGCCTCCTCTCTGCCCCGCTCTCCGCCCCCCCCCCGCCCCCCCCCCCGTCTTTCCGCGGCCCTCGGGGCCTCCTCTCTCAGCCGTGCCCGAGCCGGGCCGCGTCCCCCGCAAGGCTCCCGCCCGCGCTGGCCGCCCCCTTCCTGGCACCAGCGGCCGCGCGGCTGGAAGGGCTGCAGCCCCAGCAAAGCACCGGGAAGGGCGCCGCGCTCTGCTGCGGGGAGAGGGGCGGCCATCTGACATGCGAGAACGGCATTCCCAGGCCGCGCCCACTCTTTGGGATTATTCTACTCGCTGAATCTTGCCCTGAGCCTGGAACCAGTGTTAGATTCCAGGTTGCTGCTCGTTAGACAGAGACCAGATCCCATGGGGGGCTGAGGAAGTTCTTCAGCGTGGGAACGGACGGCTCGTTCCCCCCGTGGGCTCCTGTGCGGCCGGCCCACGCTCGGCCTGCCCTCCATGGCAGCCACGTCCCTCCCGGCCTCTCTGCCCCTTGTCTTCCCCGCCAGCTTAGGGGCGCTTCGTCCTTTGCAGCATCTTTCAACTCCCTACTCTTCTCCTTGCTCTCCTCCATTTACTTCTCCTTTTCCCTAATTCCATTCCATCAGAAGAAACAAGGATTCTGACAGCCACTCCAAGTGCCTCTCTGGAGGTTTCCCAACCGCCTGTCACCCTAATAGCCAACCCCACTCTTAGCCTCGCCCTTCTCCAGCGTTAAAAGAAGCCTGAGAGGCAGGAAGTGACGCGCTTGCGGCCGGAGGGGGCGGCCGTTGGCGAGCTTCCGGCTGCCTCGTCGCTGGCCGAGGGAGCCCAGGGCGGCGGGACCGCCTTTCCAGGAGGTCGCTGAGGTTCATCATCTTCATCGCCATAATCACCATAGCAGTTTTTATCTATTAAGTTCTTACCGTGGGCCATACATCACATTAACTGTCACACATGTATTTTCTCATGTAACCCTACAAAGTCGGTACTTTCTGTTAATCCGTATTTTATAAGTGGGGAGACTGAGGAGACGGGCTTATTTGGCCTTGAACAATCAGTAATGGCCACTAGTTTTGAACCCAAATACTTCTAACTGTGAAGCCCAGGCTGTTAGCCATTATATAAATCATGCATTAAAATTACGTCGGTAACCTGGCAAATGCAGACTGCTGGGCTCTCCTTGCCAGGAGTCTGACTGGGGAGCCCGCGGGCGGGGTCCAGGCCGCAGTGCAGCCCAGCACCCCAGGGGGCTCGGAGGACCCCAGGCAGCCCTGGGGGGCCCCTCCCGTCTGCATGCTGGCGCTCTGTTCCCCTGTCTAAGAGGCTCCCAGACCCCGCTGAGTTCTTTCTAGGAGAACGTGGATTGCACTGGGCCATGAAGCCAGGTCGCCCATCCCGAACCACAAAATGTATAAGGAGAGTCCCAGACTGAGAGAGAAGAGCCCTGAGTCCTGGCGCCAGCTCTGGGCCAGAGCGAGGTGACCTTTATGCAATGACAACCGCTACTCTTTTTCCTAAATTCCCAGATGGGGCCAGTGTTCAGTAGGCAGCCTCACACTACAGGGGAGTCTCACCAAGGGGTCATTTCTTCCACCCAGCAATCACTTACTGACCCTGTGCAACCTGGCATGGACTGAAACGGGCACAGTCCCTGCACTGAAGGAGAGCTCGCAGTCTGTGGGTGAGGCTGGCAAAAAAAAACGAAGTGAAATTTGGGCTTATTAAACTCAAATCATGCCCTCAGGCTCATCCTTCCCTGAACAAATGAAACAGCCTGTAGGAAAATTATCAGGCAGACTTTTCCCTGAGCTCCAATACACTTGGAAGACGTGAAGCAACAAATTCTCACTCATTCTTTCAACAATCATCGGTTGAGTGCCTGGCTGCCTACGCGCCCGGTTCTCTTCTCAGCACAGGTAGAAACTGGGCCATGTGCCTGCTTTTGCAGAAATTATTCTAAGGACAAACAATAGACAAACAAATGCAAATACAATATAATGTCATTAGTGATTAGTGTTACAGCAAAAGAAAAATAAAACAGGGTGAGGAAATGAGTGTGTGGAGATAGTTATGGTAAAGAAGCAATTGTTAGGAAAACATAGTGCTCACACCAAACCCCAGACCCATTCTGTGGGAGCCAGTTCTACAGCTTTGAAAAGCTTCTTTTGGCCTCAGCCACCGTCCTGCGTGTTCCTGGGAAAAGCCGCCTCCCGTACCCTTCCCATCAAGCCACACCTGTGGTAGTGGAAGTGGCCCTGATCCCACCCCCCACTTGAACCACAGCCGATTAAGCTCAAAGTGCCACTTTACCATAACTGCTGCCCCAGCCGCTGCCCCTGGGGCTGGCTCCTCAGCTTCCTGGCCAAAGATTACGTCATCAGGAAACACCAGCAGCAGCCACCTGCCACGGCTGCGCCTTCTTCAGCCACGCACATTGTTGGAGTAGGGCAGGGCTGCTCAGATCGTGGTGTGTACAGGAGTGACCGGTGGTGTTTGTCCTAAATGCACATTCCCCACAATTCCGAGTTAATAAAACGAGGTGCGTTCCAAGAATCTGCATATTCTTAACTTCCACCCAGATAGACGATTATAGTGCAAGTGGCCCATAGATCACACTCTGAGAGACGCTGCCCTGGTAGAAGATGTGCGTCAACGTCAGCCTCTCTGCAGAGAATTCCTTCTTGACCTCTCCACATCCCGCCCGTCTCTCTGAGCTAATGTTGGATGGGATCTGTTGCCACTGGCCTTTAGAGAGGAGGGTGCTTTTGACCTTCGGTGCATGAAGGGTCGCACTCCTGACTGGACTTATAAATTGGATCACAATAACCTTTTTTATGACCCACTTTTCCTCAACAAATTTGGTGACACTGTCCTGCTGCTTTCCTGTCTGCCTCAGCTTCTGTAAGTGCCAATGGGAACTTCGCACGATGTGCATGGCCCAGCTGGAGCATCACAGCATGGCTCCCAGCGCCCACCCTAACCTCCAGTCTCTGCCTCCGGACACGTGGCTTTCCCCTGCTGATTGTGGGATGAAGGCATGTCTTGGGGCATGACGGTTATGTGTGCTTCTCTTCCAGTGGGAGGGATGCCGCTGTCTCTGCTCTGATAGTCCACCTCCGCCCAAGGTGGTCCTGGGAAGGGAAGGAGGAGTCACTGTGAGCATGGAATGACATTTCTTGAGCACCTGTTGTGTACCAGACACCCCATGGTCACTTTGCACAGATCGCATCTGATCTGGAGAACATCCCTTCAGGGTGCCTAAACCCCCATTTCACACATGAAGAAACCTGTGCTCAGGGAGGGGGAGGAGCTTGGCCCAAGGAAACTGCCGGCGGGGGCTCTGGGCAGAGCTGGAGTCCTCGCTCAGGCTGGTCCAGCTCCGAAGCCTGTGTGCTGTGTCTCCCACTCGTGGCCTTTCCTCACTTCCCTGGATCCCTAAGACCCTATGTGCAAACATTTTACTCAGTTCTCTTGGTTTGCTAGTAATGGTGTCTTCCCACTTGGCTTTAGTTTTGTTTTTTCCTTCCTGTCTGGACTACTGACTATTAAGACCTAGTTTTGATCATTTAGAAAGCATCACGCAGGGACTCAGTGGGTTATAATTGGTAAAATGTCTGAACCAAATACCGTATTCCCTGCTGGTGGCTGATTAAGGGATTATTACAATTTTAAAAATAGTCTTTCAGAATTCAGGGTTATTTTATACCATTTTTAAAATTACTATTTTAATTGTTTGGAGAGAATTTTCCCTTTTGGGACTCTGCAGAGCTTCCACCAAACCCTGTTTGGGGAAAGGCGTTCCCTGCAGTGTCCTGCAAGTGACGTTTCTGAGCCTGAATCACCCCCAGTTGCTCACTCATGGCACAGAGGTCAGTAGTGTTGCCCCTGTTTCTGCAGCTCACACCCCTGGGTTTCAAGTGTGGGATCTCCAGTTTCCCCCATATTCTCCTCCTCATCCCCCAGAAGACATCCTGGGTGGTATCAAAATAGTATAACTCCCCTTCCTTATTTTGGAGAAATCATAGCTGAAAGAGGCAAGAACTAAAAATGAAACACAGCGTTAGAGGCCCCTCTATTTCCTTCATTTAACTGGTCTAAAGATCAGAGATTTTGAGCAGCCCCAAGCGACTTTGTTAAGGCTGTAATAAGATGAGCACATCTCTTATCTGAGCATCGAAATGGTTTAACAGGCTCTAATTAATCCTTTGGGAGAGAGGAGGCTCAGGAAGGGGGGTCCAGCATCCCTCGCTAAAGATGCGGACCTCAGCCTTTTCACTGCCTTGCTGTGTATCACAATGGGGGCATCTCAACTGTCTTTCTCTGTGCAGTGAAGACGGTAGCCTTTCAACATTTGGCTTGGCTAAATCCAAGGACGACTGAAACTAGATTTGCATGGCACTCTCTTCTGCTGACCTGTGATTGGATAGAAAATACGCTCTACTCACATCGTAATGATAGCTACCATGCCCTGGGTATCCGCTACATGTTGCGCTATGCTGAGCAGTGTGTATATGTGTTAAAAGGTTTCATCTTTTCATCAATCACGCATAAAAGCTATTCTCTCCATCTTGTAGAAAAAAGAAAACAAAACCCTGAAACAGAAAGGGAGAAAGGAATGTGTCCACATCAGTATGCCTAGTTAGTTACTGACTTGAGAACGAAGTCTAGATCTGGCTGTCTCCAAAGCCCGCGGTCTCTTCCTCCGCCGCACGGCCCCAGCACATGCCGGAGGCGACCTTCCAGGCCTCGTCTTCCAACCGAATGCCCTCCACAGCATCCCTGGAAGAACAGCCACCAGCCGCTCCCAGAGCACGCCCTGGGCTGGGGGATTCAGCACCCCCAAGGGACACATTCCAAAGTCTTCCAGGCCCTATCACTACCCCGGGAAGCACCCCAGAATACCCTGCTTTCTGTTTTCTTTTTTGTACTAGCTCTTTAAATATTTGAAAATAGTTTGATTTCACTTCATTTCTTCCTTCATTCATTCACTTCTAAAATT